ACCGGCCGCCGCCGTAGGCGATTTCGGCGGGCGGCGGAGGCCGTGGAGGAAAAAGGGCGGCTAGGTTTGGTCTCTATGGTTGTAAGGGAGACGAAGAAGGGGTAGGGGGGTCTGTTTGGACATTAATATATTAATGGACCCTAGCTTCCCAGCCGTTAGATCATCAAACCTCGACGGCTGGGATTAATTCTAAATCAAACGGGGTCGTTTTGGGGGTAGGCGGCTAGACCGGGTATGGGCTGGATCCAGGGGTGATTTGGGCGGGTTACAGGGGTAATTTGACTGGGCTGGAGTGAGTTTGGCCCAAATTTGGGTCTTTAATAAAGAAGACCCAATTTTTAAAAACTTTTCTTTTATTTCCCTTTTTTAATTATTAAAACAAAACTAAAATTAAACCTAAAAAATTAAATTAATCTACCTAATTATATTAAGCTATAATTAATAATCGAAACTATTAATAAAATACCAATTTAAAGGAAACTAATAAAATTCAAAGCTAAAATTTAAACCAAGCAAAACGAATCAAATTTTTTTTTTGTTGTGATTTTTTGCATTTTTGTAAAACCCTAATTACTAATTAATCTAAAAATGTAAAATTAAATCCTAAATGCAGATGCAATGCATATTTTTGTATTTTTTTTATGAATTATGTTAAATTAAAAATGCACACAGAAAAATGCAAATAAACACGAAAATTATGCAATTAATTCCTAAAAATCAAATAATTAAAAGGAAAATCCTAATTTTAGGAATTCTGTTGGAGTAAATAATGCGAGGCAAAAATCACGTGCTCACAGCTGCCCCTCTTTGCTCGGAGACACGAAGGGTTTTCGGGCAAAGATAAATGAGCAATTATGAGGGATTTTTGCCCGCTTGGCACTCCATGAGAAGCATTTTTGAAAAAGGTCTGACCGAACCTTGATTCAGAGGTTGCCTACATATCCTTGGCTATAAAGGAATCAGGTCAGTGTAGTTCTGGAAGTTTTGGTAGCTGGGACTACCGGGAGCTGTGATTTCACTGCTGATACTGCTGCTACTGCTTGCTGACCTCCTTATTACACCAAAAGAAAATCAAAGCTAAGCTAGCTATGCCTATCAACTACGAGTTACAAGATTCCTATCTATAAATCTCTTGAAGCTTGATCTTGATTCTTTGCTGATTTTACTGTGGACCTCGATTTGAATCTCGATGCTCGCAAGCTGTAGGTGCTGGTTCTTTCTTCAGCATTGGATCAAAGCGGGACATCCGAAGCTTGTGACTTCGATCAAATTTTGAACAGTCCGCGTCCTTCTCCATTTCAAGTTCACTTCTTTTTTGTTCTTTTCTTCTTTTCCTTTATTCTGGATTGAGACTCATTCTTTCGGTCATCTCGAATCTTGTGCCTTGAGGTAAAACCTGTTCGGACACCAAAAACAAACAAACGAAAGAAATTTTTCTGCCCCAGTTTTTACTAGGAAAACTTCGTGAGTTATTTGCAACACAAATCTAAACTACTTTTCATTGAAAGCAATAAAAATCAGGATTGTGTATCCTTGGGAATGCAGCCTTAAATTGGGAGGATTACCAGGTTATGCTGGAAAATGACCGGGTTATGTCGGAAAAGAAGGAGGTCCTCGGGTTATGCCGGGATTGAAAGAAAAAAGGCTCCTTGGGTTATGCCAGGGAGGTCCACGGGTTATGCCGGGATTGAAAGAAAAAGAAAGGCTCCTTGGGTTATGCCAGAGAGGTCCACGGGTTATGCCGGGATAAAAAAAAAACTCATTGGGTTATGCCAGGGAGGTCCACGGGTTATGCGGGATTGAAAGAAAAAGAAAGGCTCCTTGGGTTGTGCCAGGGAGGTCCACGGGTTATGCCGGGATTGAAAGAAAAAAGCTCCTTGGGTTATGCCAGGGAGGTCCACGGGTTATGCCGGGATTGAAAGAAAAAAGCTCCTTGGGTTATGCCAGGGAGGTCCACGGGTTATGCCGGGATTGAAAGAAAAAGGCTCCTTGGGTTATGCCAGGGAGATCCGCGGGTTATGCCGGGATTGAAAGAAAAAAGGCTCATTGGGTTATGCCAGAAAGGCTCCTTGGGTTATGCCAGGGAGATCCGCGGGTTATGCCGGGATAAGAAAGAAAAAAGGCTCCTTGTGTTATGCCAGAGAGATCCGCGGGTTATGCCGGGATAAGAAAGAAAAAAGGGTCCTTGGGTTATGCCAGGGAGATCCGTGGGTTATGCCGGGATAAGAAAAGAAAAAAAAAGGCTCCTTGGGTTATGCCGGGATTGAAAGAAAATAGGCTCCTTGGGTTACGCCAGGGAGATCCGCGGGTTATGCCGGGATTGAAAGAAAAAAGGCTCCGTGGGTTATGCCAGGGAGATCCGCGGGTTATGCCGGGATATCTAGGGAATGGGGCCCTATGCTACCATGATTTTGGATTTTATTTTTTTTATTTTTTTTATTATTTTAAAGGCATAAAATGCAAGAAAGAATTTCGGGAAAACTTCCCTTTTTGGTCTGTTCCTTGCTGCAAAGTTGTTTCACCGCTTGCGCATTTCTTGTCCTTTTTGGTTGCACCTGCTTTTTGCACGGTTGCTTGGATTGCACCTGTTTCAAATTTCCAAACAAAGAACAATTGTTAGTTTGAAACGGTGGTTGGTTTTGTGGCCCTGATCGTCTCAATTGCTTGACCTCGGCCCAGCTTCTATTGAGAACCTCTGCTGCTTTCTGGTTTTGAAGATTAATCTCTCTCGCAAATCGAAGAGCTCAACTTTTAAATTTTCATGACAACTCGCCCGCGCGGGGCTTTGACCCTTTCACTTTATTCTGCCTTTGGACCTTTGTCCTTGACTTTCTTTTCCTTTTCAATAGCTTTGATTTCAGAGCATCAACCATCATGGCCAGCCGGGATTGGCCTGACGCACCCGCTGAGGTTGGGTACTTTTCTTTAGCTTTTGCTAGGCAGAGCCCTGTAACACCAATCTTGCCACCTTTTCTTTGTATTCGTTTCGGGAACAGAGTTAGACCGAAAGGGATTCAAGGAAAAGTAAACAAATGGCAAGAAAATAAATTTAAAGAGAAGTGTCCCTTTCGAGAGGAAGGAAGGACTTATCTGGGGTGCATGCAGGCTTCAAATAGACATGTCATGCTTCTTGGACTGGATGCCCGACCCGCACAAACTTTCCCAACTTCTCATAGACTCATTGACCCACGTTTCAAAACCACGGAATCTTGCCAGGACTCTTTTAGTGGTGGGAGATGTCTTCTCTTCGGCCAACGGCGCCCTTTGCGGGTTTTCGCCGATCGACCTCTCTCATTTCTCTTCTCACCGTCGCCCTATAGTGCTCTTTACAAGTTTTCACTAAACGTACTCTCTCATTTTCAATTTCTCTACTCACCGTCGCCTTATGGTGCCCGTAGGTTTTCACCGATAAGACTCTCTCATTTTATTTCTCTCAGCTTGATTGTATCAGATTCCAACAATAGTGTTTTCCGATTCCAATGCCTTTGCCAATTGATCAGAAGGACTTGGACAAGGTTTGGGTAAAAAGAATCTGGATGGAATTACAACTTTGGAACCGTTCTGGTGGGCTCATTGCTGAGCCATTATATCATCTGCCCCAGTTTCACTTTTGGGGGAATTGGGATTTTTGTTTTGGTGTGACTGAATCCCAGAGAGAGGCTGCCTACGTATCCTTTCGGAATCAAGTCAGACGTAGTTCAGGGAAACTTTGTTTTTTGATTTTCTTTTGTTTTTCTGTTTTGCTTTATTTTCTCTTTCTTTTCCCTTTCCTTTTGTCCTCTCTCTTTTTTGTTTTTTTTTCATTTTCACTTCAATTTCTTTTTTTATTTTTTTATTTTTTATATTTCTCTTTTTTCTTCTCTCTTTTTTTTTCATTTCATTTTTCAATAACACTTCCAGGTTCCAAAGAGGGTAATCAAAGAATGGGAGCCGGCTCAAAGGGTTCGCAAAGGGTTGGTAGTGTTTTGGTAGCGAGAATAAAAGCCTTCGTCATCCCATTTGAACAAAGTCATTGTTGCAGAAATCCTAAACATAGTACCTTTTTACTGCATCCGCATTCACAGCTGCTTCGGGATCATTTCCTTCGATGTGTCCCAAGTACAACACACTCTTTTGGCAGTACTCTTGTTGCAATGTATGGAACTTTCCACTCTGGAAGCAATTTTCCTTCAGTTGTTCCAACTCTTTGTTTCATTTCCTCAAACTTATCTTCTTTGCATTTCGACTCTTGATTCATTATTTCGAAGTCTGACAGCGTTTTGGGATCTGGGCATGAAGTCCGCAAGCATGTCATGTTATTTAAAGCCGCATTATTAGAACTGAAAGAAGAAATAAAAGAGAAAAATAACAAAATCAGAAAGAATAAAGAAAGATGAGCGATGAAATATTGATTTCATTTCTTGGAATTTGAAGATAACAGGGTTTACATTTGGAAAATAAAAGACAAGAAACTAAAGAAAACACCCGAGTTACACCCTGGAATAACTCGCGATGCAGAAAAAGTAGCAGGACAGGTCTACCGGGACTCCCGCCTGATTGGGAATGGCGTAGCCTTCCAATTCTGCAGCTTGGCATTTGGTCCCATATACAGCACCTCAGCGGTGCTTGAGCCCTCTCCTGGCTGGATCATGTGGGTTTCATATAGTATCTTTCTCATTGCCCCACATATCTCTTCAATCTCTTTGGCCGTAAAGGCCTCATCCTCTTCTTCTTCATTGTATTTTGGCTTGACAAAGGTCTCGTACAGATGTGGCAGGGGCTGAGGTAGAACCCATCCATCATTCTTTCTCTCGTCTGCCCACTTTATATCATCCGGGGTAGGGTGGAAACCTATCCCGAAGAATTTCTTAGTGGTAGGCAGGGTAACCGGTTCAGCTATTCCTTGCAGGGATTTTCCAAGTCCCTTCCCTGGTTTGAAGCCATGTCGGATCATTTCTGTGGCCACCATAATCGAGGCATTGGAAAGGAAGGGTTGGGGGCAAGGGTTTCCCTCTTCGTACTGGTCTGCCACCACAACTTCAAAGGCCTGGTAAACTATGTGCTCGCTGCCTTCTCTCCCTTCAAGGCATGGGACTGAAGGGTCTCGATAAATTGATTGCTCGTCCTCCCCATGGACCACGATTTCTTGATCATCATGCTCAAATTTTACCATCTGATGAAGAGTGGAAGGTACAGCCCCTACTGTGTGGATCCATGGCCTCCCTAAGATAAAGTTGTAGGATGTGTCCATGTCTAGAACTTGGAAAGTCACCTCAAAGTCCACCGGGCCAATGGTCAGAGTTAGATCAATCTCTCTAATCGTATCCCTTTTGATACCATCGAAGGCTCGTACGCAAACATTGTTGGGACGAATCCTTTCAGTCCCAATTTCCATGCGCTGTAGTGTTGAGAGCGGGCAGATGTCCACCCCAGAGCCTCCGTCCACCATAACCCTTTTCACGTAGTACCCTTCACATTTGACAGTTAAGTGCAGTGCTTTGTTATGTGCAGCCCCTTCCGGTGGCAAGTCATTTTTGCTGAATGAAATCTGGTTGATAGCGAAAATCTTTCCGCCATTCTTTCTAATTGCTCCACAGAAGTCTCAGCTGGCACGTATGCCTCATTGAGGGTCTTGATTAGTACCTTCTGGTGTTCGGGGGATTTCATCAACAAAGATAGCAAGAAGACTTGTTCAGGAAACTTTCGAAGCTGGTCAACCACTTCATAATCCGCCATCTTCATTTTTTGAAAGAAAGCTTCCGCCTCTTCGGCACTCACGGGTTTTTCAACTGGGAAACGCTTCTTGGTGGCGTTGTTCACTTCTTCCAAATTGGAGTACTTTTCCACAGGGTAATTTTCTTGAACCTCTCCTGAGATTTCCTTGCCCTTATACGTCACCACGGTTTTATGGTAGTTCCAAGGCACCACGGAAGGATCTGTCATGGGCCTCTGTGGCGCGCGGCCAATAACCACGGGCTCACTCAGCCTTGGTGGATTAATTGGCCCCCACACCACATAAGCTCCCTTGGGCACGTACATTTGGGTCATTCAGCTCAAATATCCTGGGGGGACTCAATGTCATCTGCTTTTCCTTGCGACCCCGAGGGACATAGAGAACAACATCTTTGGTGGGTGCTGCCCCAGTTCCTGCTTCAATTTTTCTTCTCTGATTTTGGATGGGTGGTTTTGTTCTTTTTCTCCCCTTTGTCTTGCTTCGGGGTAGCTTTTGGTCAGCAATGGCGATTATGGCCTTCAATGTCGGGTCAAATTCCTTATCCTCACAAATCATGCCGATTACCGGCCCGTTGTTGTGGGCTGGCAGTGGGTTATTAGTCACATTGGGGACATCCTCATCCCTTAGCACTATCTTCCCCTGTTCTATCAAGTTCTCCACTGCTCTCTTCAAGGTCCAGCAATCATCCGTGTCGTTCCCTTCCACCCCTGAGTGATAGGCACATCAGGCACCAGCTCTGTAAGCGGGTGATGCTGGGTTTTGCCTTGTTTGAGGAACTGGCTGTAGCAGACCCATTTGGACAAGCTTTGGAAACAGACTGGAGTAGGATTCACCGATTGGTGTAAAAGTTGGCCTTCTGGGTGGTTCACGAGGGGGAAAATTGTTTTGTGGAGGACGGGGGTTGTAGTGGTTTTGGTGAGGAGGCTGGTTTCTAGGAAATGGAGCTTGGTTCCGGTTGGCTTGCTGCTGAGGCCGGACATAAGGTTGAGCATTCATGACTGTATATGGCTGAGGAGCATAGGCCAGGTCCTGGTGAGGGTAATAGTGCTGCGGGGTCCTTTCTGGGAAAAGGGATCTGGGAGTACGGTGTTTTCTTGCACCCGACACTGCCATGGATGCTTCTTCTTTTTTCTTGCCCTTCGCTACTCCTCCAGACCCGCCCTGAATGGATTGGGAGGTTGCTCTGATAGCGGATTGGCTTAGAATTCGACCTGTTTTCAATCCATTTTCCACCATTTCACCGATTTTGATGGCTTCTGCGAACGGTTTACCCATAGCTGACATCATATTTTGGAAGTAGTCGGCTTCCTGAGCTTGGAGGAACACTGTGACCATTTCGACCTCGTCCATCGGAGGCTTTACTCTAGATGCTTGCTCACGCCATTTGATTGCATACTCTCGGAAGCTCTCCGAGGACTTCTTTTTCAAGTTTGCCAGTGAGTTTCTGTCTGGAGCAATGTCTATATTGTACTGGAATTGTCTGACAAAGTCTCTAGCGAGGTCATCCCAGATGTGCCAACGAGATATATCTTGATCCATATACCACTCGGAGGCAATACCAACCAGATTTTCTCCAAAATAAGCCATGAGTAATTCTTCCCTTCCTCCGGCTCCTCGCAATTGATTGCAGTATTTCTTAAGATGAGCAATAGGATCACCATGTCCATCGTACTTTTCAAACTTTGGAGTTTTGAATCCCAGAGGCAAGTGCACGTGAGGGAACATGCATAGATCAGCATAGGACACACTTTTCTGACCACTCAGACCCTGTATGTTCTTGAGGCTCTGCTCCAAGCTTCTCATCCTCTTTGTCATTTCTTCCTGTTAGGGATTTTTGGGAGCCTTTTCTTGTCCCGCAATGAAATCAAATTGAGGCGGCTGAGGATAAGTATAAGTGGGGAACTGAGGGGGCTCCATTTGGAAAGTGGGTGTTTGGAATGTAAAGGTTGAAGGATCAAAAGTGGGCCTAGGCAGTGCGGGCTGTGTTCTGGCTGAGCATGGGGGAGCGGTGAAGATATTGGAGGCCGCACCAAACATGAACACCTGGGGGCGAACCTCAGAAGGTGTTCCCACGAAATAAGCTTATATGGTGGGCTGACCCAGTGGAGTGTTTGGATGATTGATTAGAACATTAGAAGTACCCCCTGATCTAGGAAACAGTTCGGGGAATCCCGGGATAGCACTTGGTGGCTCTCTTCCATTTGCCCAAGCATCCCACATTTTCATGACTCGAAGACGTAAGACCCTGTTCTCTTCAACCGCTGCAGATTCGGAGGTCGGGATGCCCGAGATTGGGCTATCATCTGCGATGGGAATCGTTGGCAAGGTCATTTCTGAAGACATACCGATACTCCCCTTTGATCTAGTAAAGTATGGATGTGAAGCCAGGTTACCACGAAAAACCAACCACCGTTTCTATAAAACCTGGACTGGGTGACAACAGCAAACGGTTAGTTTGAGACAAATAATAGATAGGTAATCCCACGTTGGGGTGTGATGCACCTATACAGTTAAATGGATTTCTACATGTTTTGCAACAGTTGCATGCGTCATCCCGGCTTTTCCTTATTCTTTTCCATTTTCTTCTTTTGATTTCCACTCTCTCTTTTCTTGCTTTTCCTTTCTTTTGCTCTTTTTCTCTCATTTTTCTCATTTTTCTTTCTCTCTGTTTTTTTTCTTTTTTCGATTTCCTTTCTTATTGGAGCTATTTACAAAATATGACCGGATCCGATGAGGATTGCCTACATATCACGACGCCGCATGAATCAGATCATTACGTAGTTCAAGAGAAGTAAGGAAAAAAAATTGGATTTTTTTTTTCTTTTATCAAAAACTTTTATTTTAAAAACAAAACCCCGGCTTTGCAGATACGACCTTTTAGCACTTCGGGGAAGAAGATTTTAAGGCTGTGCCCGCTAACCGTTGAAAGTGACCCAAGGTGGCTGTTCTTGCAAAAACAGCCTTCCGGCGCCCTTTTGGGGACATTCGGCTTATTTTAAACAAGAATGGCATCACCCGACTTATTTATGACAGAAACTAAAATTTTTGTTGTTTTTGGGCTATTTTTGTAAAAGAGAAGTTGGACCCGATGAGGGCTGCCTACGTATCCCACATCCGGTGAGAATCAAACTGGCGTAGTTCGGGCAGATTTGACAAAACCAACTATTTTTGAAAACAAAAACTTTCTTTTTCTTTTATTTTCTCAAAAATCCGACAGAGTTTCAGTACTATTTGCGTATTGGTTTTTCAAAACTGGTGATTACCCTGACATTACTATTCTCTTTTCAACTCTCTCCCATTATTTACAAGACGGTCAACATGCAGATCCGAAGCAAATAAATGCACAAGTAGCAAGTAAGATGCATCAGGATGGTCTTTTCATTTAAGTTCACCTGTCCTAGACGGACCCAACCCCTTTGTTGAGTCCCCTAAGTAAATGCACGTGATGCAAACAAACGTTCCTACTAGGGATCCGGCATTAGGCTTTGTTATACTAGGTTTAAAACCTGGGTTATTGTGCTACACCTGGCTTACCCGAGCGGACAACTCGAGCCCGGGGGGGGGGCAGCGTACCGGGAATACAGAAGCTTCGCCGGCTTAGCAACTTGTCCGAACCTCGTTCTAAATGGGATAAGACTCTAAACAGAAGAGAAGTCACACGAAGTGCACCCTTCTCCATGATGTAGAAGACTCAGAGAGAAGAAGGGTTTCGTAGCAGTTTATATATACAATTCAACAAATATCAAAGCGGTAAAGCACTTAGCACATTTAGCATGAAACATGTAGGAAAATCAGATAATAAATAAATCCAATCATAACAGCTATTCTAAGCTCGAATTCTTGAACCCTAAACCGAAATTCTGGGTTCGTGTCCCCAGCGGAGTCGCCAGAGCTGTCACACCTCCTTTTTTACAGACCACCCCGAAGGATAGTATATAAGGGAGTTTTTCCAATTTAAGTGACAATATTCGAAATGGGATTATTTATTTATCAGAGTCGCCACTTGGGATAGGTTGTTTTCTGGCGTCCCAAGTCACCAGTTTATTTTAAATCCCAAATCGAGGAAGATTTCGACTTTCCATTTGAAGTCTGCGAACCAGAAATTCTGAATAAGGAATTCTGTTAACCCGGGGGAAGGTGTTAGGCAGCCCCGGATTCCGTGGTTCTAGCACGGTCGCTTAAACTATCATAATTGGCCTATTATCTGATTTTAATACATGTTTTAGCCTATGGAACAATTTTTAAAAAATTTACCGCTTTTAATTAATTTTAAGAAAAATTGAACGTCGTTTAAAACGTGTCTTTGGATCGCGTCACATGAAATGCACCCGCAATCTAAAACACATTTTATTCAACATTTTAGGATTTGGATTTGGGTCACATGAAATGCACACCCGAGTTTAAGAAGGTAAAATTATTAAATAACGCGCCTAAAGCAACTAACGCGTTGTTAACTTTGCGGGAGACCATGAAAATTTGCTAAATGGCACGTCCCGGGTTCTAAGGATTTTAAAGATATAATTAAAGAGGGCCACGCAATTTGTGATTTTATTTGGCGCGGCGCACCTCGATTCCATTTTTAAAGGTTGTTCTAAAATTCAAGAGGGCCATAGCTATTACTATCTAATATGGCTCACCTCCAATCTAATTAGTGGGCTTAATCAAGTAGAACTAAATGTGATTTGAGGTTTCCATCCAATTAATTAAAGAAACACATGAGGGGAATTATTCATTTTGAACGTAGGATCAGCCCAGTATAAATAGTCCAAGGGCCTAACTAATAAAAGATGCAATCAAACACAGCCGCAGGATCTAATGTATGAAGAATTGGCTCCAGATGAAGCCAGGCCCCATGGTGTGTTAACAAAAAGGCAATGATTAGAACTGGGCCCTTGTTAGGCCTGTTTCTTGTGACCTGATCGGCCCATGCCCAAGACACAATAATATAGGCATAATTGACATTAATCACATAAACATGACATCTAATTAACAGATTTAAGTTATGATTCAAATCCTTTGACATAAATTAACTGAAACTTCAAATCAAATCCATCTTTAAAAAATGCCTGGGCTGAAAATGAATCCAGATTTGAACAAGGAGAGCTTCCCATAGGGAACAACATCCTTAGCTCGAATCTGCGATTCAAATCACAGGCCAGCTCTTTTAGCTTCACTTTTCAATTGCAAATAAATGGACAAACTACAATAATTAATACGTTCAAATTAAAGAAGATGCATAAATTATTGGATGCAGATTTCGAAAACTCTAGTCAAATGATCCCAAAGCTAAAACTATGGAAATTAAACACTGAAATATAGAACTGTTTCAAACATCTATTAGGCATAGAATTAACACTGGTATCAGCACACACATATTAGTCCTAGAATCATTTTCCGGCTCACACAATATTCTAAATTTAACATTTAAACTAACATGATAGCGAACCTTGAAAAAAAACTTAACATGGATTACTAAAATTAAACTATACTAAAGCTAACACTACCAAATAGGATATACACGAGTCCAACAGTCCATATACATAATCCCTCAAGTA